ACAAAAGAGCTTTAGTGGACCCTAAAGGCATAAACCAGTAAACCGTCAACGACAGCCTTCAGAGAAAAGACAGACAGAGTGCAGCACCTACCTGAGAAAAATGTTTGTTTAAAAAAAAAAAGAAAAAAAACTCCTTTTCCTCAGTCGCCGTCCCCGTGGTCTCCAGCGTGCACTTGAACTTCACAGATGTCCTCCTGTCCCTCCGTCTCACCGTCCCCTCTCCGTCTCTCAGCGTCTTCCAGTCTTTGTCTGCCCTGTCAGTCTGCCTCTCCTCTGTCCGTGCAGACAGGAGTGTGTGTGAACACAAGTGCGTCTGGGAGCCAGACAGAGTGAGAGTGAGGGAGGGGGCGGGCCCATCCCGGAGCAGGGGATTCCTTTATGACGATGTCAGAGGAGAAGAGCCCTCCCCTTTCCTACTCTACTTCCCTCCCTTGCCCCTTCACCTCCTCCCTGCCCTCCCAGGACAGGAAAGGGGGCAGGGAGGTAATTGGCCGCACAGCTGCTAATAAATGAGCAAAGTCTGTTTAAGTCAACAGAGAACTGAAGAAAACTGAAGGCGCAGCGTTCCAGTTCAAATCAAACAAACATTAGATACTCTGGTACTTTTGGTGATTTAATTGTACATTGAAGTGTTTTTTTATATATATATCAAATGTGTTTCAATCATCATCAGGTTTATTATAAAAAAATTCTGAGAACTGTTTCAAAACTAAAATGAAGATTGTGTCTTGAAGATTGAAGTTTTCCTTAAAAAAATCACATAATTAATCACAATCACACAAATGAAATTCCTTTATTTACTGCCACTCACTACACCAGTGTACGGTGTCGTGCTGATGTGGAGAGTGGCTGCCGCCCTGTGTGTTGAGTACATTTGAGAGTACAGAAAAATTAAAGAATAGATCTTTTATTTAGATAAAATAATACTTTTTCAACATCATTTATATTCTTTATAGTTAAATTATAGTATTTAAGAGAATCTTTTGGATAAAACATTTTGGTTTGGGATTTTAATTGAGAGTTTAGATGATAAAAATGAAAATAAACAAAACTACTACTTTGTTTTTTTTAATTATTTATTTATTTTTTGCAGAGCAAATATTCATGTATTGTTCATGCAGCTTTGCAACAACATCAAGTAGATATTTTTTATTCTGTTAAAAAACTAGATATTTTAAAAGAAAGATTTTTCTTTTAGAAAATTTAAAACATAGTCGTAATTGTTTAAATTTTAATTAATAATTCTTCTCTGTTGTATGTAAAAGATTTTTAACTGGCTTTCTTAAACCAACAGATAATATTATAATTTACATATATATGAATACAGCAACTAACCCAAAGAGCTGGTTTTAAAATATAATACAGGACAGGTTGAATAAAGTAAACTACACTAGACATAAACATAATCTTACAATCTCTGTGAACACAAACAACAAAATGGTTCCAGTCGGAAAATAATTTCAAATTCTCATTTTTGTTTTTTTATTTTTTACTGAAGTAATCTGTAAATGTTAGATAAGTTTGTATTTAAATTTGTGTTCAAGCTCTTTTACCCTCACCCCCCCCACCCCCTCTTCACTAACACAAACTTTAGAAGGTTGTTGTTTGTGGGCTGTTGCCTTTATGACTTCCCGGTCGTTCCCTGTAACCTTGGTTATGTGTGTATGTGTGTGTGTGTTTGTGGTGTGTGTGTGTGTGTGGTGTTGTCCCGCACAGACAACCACGCCCCTGTGTAAGAGAGCAGACGTCACACATTCCACAAACACGCAAACACACACACACAGCCATCGCACACACACTCTCATGCGTCTCTTAGCAACCCGTGTACTCCAGTTTAGACAAATGTACTGTACCGGTAAGACACGTGACCGCGGCGCTGGCATTTGTCTTCATATGGAGAAATGTATTTGTTTGTGAACCTCAGTTTCTATGTCGCTTTTAAAGGGGAATTACAGCTTTGCATAACAGCCTGCAAAAGAAGAACCACAATGAAAGTCTTTGACCTGTAATCAGTACTTGGTTTTTGACAGTCGCAGGTTTCTGTCTCCTAAGAAGTACAACCTAGAAGTACAAGTACATAAGTACTGTAGTACATCCTTCTGTAAGTCTTTGTCTCTGTCAGCTGAGCAGGACGTCGCAAAAAAATAAAAATAATAATAATATCCTGTTGAAAAAGGCGTCTTCTGTGTAATCTGCTCACAGGAATCTGAATATTTGCTTTGAGTCACGGTCTACTCCAGAAGCCCTTCCTGATGAAACCCCCTCCTCCCACTAATGTTAATGATTTGGGGATTGAACCTGGTTAAAAATGCAAAATTATTTGTTGTTTTTTAACATGAAATTTTGTTGAATTTTTTAAAAATTATTTTATGATCAACAAATAAAACATAACATATTTCTCTGATTTTTGGTCCAATTAATAAACTTAAATGCATAAAATTCACAAAAATAAATACAAATCCTCACAGTAAATTAAGAAAATAAGTCAAAATGTTTGACTAGGGAGAATTTCAATCTTGTTAGGTATGTTATGCAACTCAAAAATATGAATACACATATTCATAAAATTTAGCTATTTTTCTTTTCAGTAAAAACTTAATATCAGTAACGCAGCATCAAAATCTTGATTCTCTGTTAACAACCAGGATGTTTTACTTCGCTGTAAAACCTTTTAATTTTTTGGTCAGAAGAAAATCATTTTTTTACCTATTTTAATGATTGAAGTCATGAAAAAAAAAATTTCTCAATACAAGATGTAATGAATATTCTTGTTTATAGTCAGGCTGCAATGTATTCTCAATACAAGATGTAATGAATTCTTGAATGAATGAATTCTTGTTTATAGTCAGGCTGCAATGTTACACATTTAACAATATACAAATGTTGTGTTTGAGAGTAAAGAAATATTGGTTTGCACAGGATACTTAAAATGCATAAATATTGTATGTTTCATCCACAGTGGAAATCGGTAGAAAAAAACAGAAGCTTTTAATATATATATATAGTAAAACTTTCCTGCCATTTGTGGGCCGTGTACTTGTTGATGTCGACTGTGTTTGTTGATGTCGACTGGTCACAGTGGACGTTCTGCTGAGTGACCGTCTTGGGCATTGACTCAGATGACAGTAACTGAGTCCTGTTTGGTCCCAGAGTCTGGGAAAGAAAAAAAATCAACTTCCATTTGGTTGTCATGGTGAGTCAGATCCAATTATGCATCAAACAGTGGAAAAATGGTTTTTGGAGGGAATGTAGACATGCAAAAGATTTGGGGGGAGGGGGACTGTAAGTGGTCACAGCTAATGTGAGAGGTGGGCTATCAGTATTATTATTACCTAAGCAGACACGTCGACGGAGAGTGAGCAGTCATTAACAGGGAGGGACCTGCAGTTCACACACAGATCCTTATATAAAGCACTGACTGTTCTCCAGTCGTTCCCTGAGTTCTTTTTTTTTTTTTTTCCATTTTCCATAAAGACATTGTGTCTGTAACGTTTCTGTAAAGTCCTAAAATAAACCAGACCTCGATCATTCCCCGGACCTTGACTGAGAGCTGACACTGACTCAACATACCCCTGAAAAAGAAGTTGTAGTTTTTTCTTACACAGAAACGTGTTGTTTTTAATCGTTGCACATTGTTTAAGAGAAGAACGACGGGCAGAAAACAAAACTCCAGATCGTCTGGTTCTGTATGTGTCCAACATTTGTAATACTGGACCATTTGGACCCATGAGCAAAGCAGTTCTGGTGTTTGAGTAAAACCTGCTATTCATTAGGGTGGAGGCATAGGCACCGGCTCCGAGTGCGTGTGCTCATCCATCATGGCAGCTTCTGTAGAGAAGACCTGGCCTTGATATTATAATTATCGCTCTTTCACATTCGAAAATTTTCTTAATAACATTTCACCTCCCGTCCATTAGGCGGCGTCAGTTCTTCTCCAGTTGTTTACTTCTCAGACCGACATGTCCAGAAGGACAGAACCTTCACAGACATGTTCTTTTTCCACTGAGACCCAAATAAATAGATAGAGATAGAGGCCTCGGCCACTGGAGGTCTGGCCCCGCCCCCCACTTTGGGAACCACTGACTAAATCTTTCATAGCTTGCAGGTGCTTTTATTTCCCAGCTCCATCTTGTTACTTCAACAAAGACAACAAATTACTGTTAGTGAAGAATAGAATCATTATGAACATGTCAAACATTCTCATTAAATACATCATTACTTCTCATTTGTCTTTCAAACGTTGCTACAAATAAGAATAACAAAAATCCAAAGTGTAATTGATGAAACTTACAGTACAGAGCCTGAGCCTCAGCTTTAGCCTCGTGACAATGGGAATCTATGATGTGGGAGTTTATTTAGACACATGCTCCTATTTAGAGGAACTCTTTTTCCAGGAAATTCCACGGATTTTTCTGCCCGACAACAACAGGCCTCATTCTGCACTTGCTGCAGTGGTATAGCTCTGTATTAGCGTTAGCGTAGCTTCAGGTGTGTCTCCTGATGCCAGTATTTTGGGTCAATATATTTTTGCTGTAAAACAATAAAAAAAGTCGATGTAGTCAAAATAAAAGGAGACTCGACCCAACGCTGATGTTGCCGACTCTTTACTTCTCAGATTATCGTGAACCTTAATCAAAAATATCGTTTTTTTTCCTGCTTTTCTAAAGCGCTGAGCAAATGTTTCCAATGGGGTTGGTATTTACAGTAAACCTACTGTACTGTGTTGTTCGTGGTTGTTAGGGAAAAGTGGAAGAGCCAGCCTTCAGCTGTCAACTCTCCCTGTCAAACCTTCATCCTGCTCTTCCTCCTCTTCCTCCTCCTCCTCTTCTTAGCTCCTCCCTTAATTAGCAGGCTCCTGCCCCTTAACTCCACGCTTTTCCTCCTCAACTCACCTCTGACACAGTTCTGGGATCTCTGATGTCATACTTTTTTCTTGCTTTTTTTTTTCAACACTTCATCAGTTTTTCAACTGTGTTGGTTCTTGGAACCGATCCCAGAATGTTGTCTTTAAAAGTCCACCGAAAGATGTGCACAAGCTGGAACCAGCCAGCCAGCAGTCAGGCTCAGAGTTGGTCCACTAGACTATGACTTGTCTGTCCTCATTTTCTCTTACCCCCCCCCCCCCCCCCCCCACATTTTCTCTTGCCCCCCCCCCCTCTCTTTTACCCTATCTCTCTCTCTCTCTCTCTCTCCCCTACCTCTCTGGTATTTATGTATTGGTAGTTGCTGTGGAGACAAGACACACAAACACTGTGGCAGTAGACAGGAAGTGCTAAGGAACCACAATGGCGTCACTGCGGCTCAGCGCTCGCTCTCTTCTTTCTCTCTCCCTCTTTCTGCCTGTCTCAGCCAGCATGCATGCTATTATCCTCAGTGAGCGCCCTCTCTGTCTCTCTCATTTCTCTCATTATTATTAGCATTGCTTTTTCAGCTGTCTACCTCTCTCTCTTTCTCTCTCTCTCTCTCTCTCTCCTCCACTGCGTACCACATTAGCTGTTTTAGCATTTGGAAAATCACTGTCTGATTTGCGGTGTCTGGAATGCCTGGTGTTAGCTGATGTGCTGAAATGCAGTTGGGCATCGGCCGCCTGAGAGTTTGGAGCCGTCTGCAGGACGACGACTGTGGAGACGCCGCTTCTCTTTGGAAAAACTGGGCTGAGAATGTGTGTTTTTCTGAGTTTGTCTTCGGTCCCCGTAGTTTAAATTAAAAAAAAAAAAGATTGTGCCCATTAACACCATGGACGGTGACATTGTCTGAAAGTGAGAAATAAAAAATAAAAAAAAGATCGTGCCCATTAACACCGTGGACGGTGACATTGTCTGAAAGTGAGAGAGCGTCAACAGGTGAAGGAGTGAGAGTCATATATAGTCAGGCCGGTGCCACACAGAGAATGTGTGTGTGGTCCTATTGCAGCCTCTTACATCAGACCAGCATTAGTGTACAGTGCACATCCCTCCTGTTCTCCCTCTGTCTTCTTTTTAACACAACCCACCTCTAAATATACTTCCCTGGAAAAACCCCTTGAGAAGATACAGCTCTCTCACACTCCACATGCTAAAAATACCCGGGCCAGACCACCTTTACAGACCCCTTTCATGTTTGCTGACTCCCCTTGTTTGCCGACTGCTGCACCTCTCGCTGGTTCACTTCTGCTTCTCAACTCCGCTCTATTATTTTTAAGCCAGCCCTGCGATGTGACTCCTTTTCTTTTGTTTGCTGCAGTCACTCCTTTCTTCCTACCACCTCCTCCCTCTGTTGCTCCTCTTTCATAGCGGTGCCTCTTTACTGTCCCCCAAGGCTACTTGGTGCTGTTCTGACATTGTTAAACCATCCATTGAGCGAGATCAGCTAGAATTTCTGTAGACTGGGTTCATTAGGCTAAAGTCAAAAAATACAAACTTTTTAAACTTTTGGCCAAACCTGAATCTAAAACATTTAAAAATGATTGATTAACAGGTTCATCTGGTTTCACCTGTTTTTTTTTCCTCTCCCAGAACTTCAAGAACATTTGATACAATTTTCGTCTGAGAATGAGAAGAGACAGGTTCTGACTTAGCGTGAAAATATCAAAAAAGGAATTCTCCGATGAATACAGGTCCTGTGTGTGTATAGACTTGGCTGAGGAGAAATATCTTTGTATTCGACTGTTGCAATTAGGTTACTAGGTAACCACGGAAGCAAAGTGATTCTAAGATGATCTCTCAAATTAGGTTAGAATTCAGAAAAGTTTTAGAATTAATGAACATTCTTCTTAGGATTTTCGTAATTTCAACCACTAGTCTTGTAAATTAGGATCATATTTAAAGGGAAACTGATAATAAAGCACAGCTGGTGATGGTGCATTATTACAGAAATAACCAAACTTTTACTTTTTGAGGCTTTGGATGATGAACTTGCATCTGCTCGTGATGACACGGTCCATTCTCTGCATACGATCTACAGGTAGGTCCAGATAAAAAGCAGTCCAGCCTTTCGTGTCTCGTCTGAGTTACAACACTGTGAACAGACGAGTCCTCAGGACACAGAGACACAGGATGGATTTTGTTGCAGTGACCTCATAGCAGAGCGTGTGAGAAAATAATAATAATAAAAAAAAACGTCAGACAGAAAAAAGAGATGGAAAGATTAAAGACAAGTTTGGTAAAGATTAGCGTCTCCTGTCTGTCACTTCTCTTTGTTGGATATCTAAGGAGGTTTGAAAATATGTGAGACGAGGAGAAAAACACACACCCACAAAAGAAGATAATCCCTTAGGAGATTATC